GCGGTTTACCTCTTTCCTTTCTATTTTTCTACTTTATGGTTAATTAAAAATAATAGTATATCATATGGAAGAGCTCTTCGATTTGAAAAAAACATTGTATGTATCATTTCAGCTTTAGCCTACTCATTCGCTCACCCCTGTAATTTCTATTTTTGTTTGGTGTAGTTAGATAATTCCAAATTGTATATTATAAGGGGTTGAAAGTTCGAATCCAACTCCTTGGATATTATTTTTATTTGGTTTATTTTTGAATATTTTAAATTTTTAAATGTTTTTTTGTTTAAAAAATTTTTGATACTTTTATTTTTTTCCAAATTTTAATTTTTGTTCAATATCTCAAATCTCTGTTCAATATATCAAATCTCTTCTAATGATAAATAATAAATTATTTATCAAACAATAAAAAGATCAATAATGTTTTACTTTTCTAACTTATTTTCTTTTTAAAATAAATAATTAAAATTCCATTTTTTTTGTTTTTACTTTTCTTCGTAAATTTTAACTGATTTCCTTTGCAAATTGTAGTTACCTTAGTAACTTTTATCAATCGGTCGAAAATTATATTTTGTTATAAACCTTTTAATTCTCCATCCAATGATACCAAGAATAAGAAGAAATGCCTGAACTGATATCAATCGAAAGAGCTTAACAAGCTGAGTCGAATGACACCAAATCATCGTAATTGAACGATAGTTGACATAGTTATGAGATAATGAATTCATATCGGTGTCGAAGAGAACCCTGGTAGACGCTCAGATATTTTGTCCTAATCACAGGCTGCATCATTTAGTTTAAATTTATTATATACATACTTCATTAATTCTCTACGAAAAAACCCTTTTTAAAATTTTTGAGAAACCTCCATTATATTTTTACGGTAATACTTATATAGGATATTACAAATAGGTAATCGTCGAACATGAGCAATTATATCTATGTATATCCATCGACTTTCTGAGATAACACATTTATAACGATATTTTGTCATAATTAGTAAGGGTTACCATGCTTTTTAATTTTATTCTTTAAAATAATTGATAGTAAAATATGTAGCTATAAAATTATTATTCAAAAAAATAATGTATTAATTGAAGGAGAAAGTACTTCCCAATATTTATCAAAAGTATTGTTGACAATAATTGCTAATCCAGGAACGAAGAAAGTAATCGAGTAGAGCAATGAAGGTATTATTGCTAACTGAAAAGAAAATCAAAATTTCAAGTATGTATTATCATTACAAAAAATTACCATAAAAGTCAAAAGTAAAAATGTTCTAATAATATCAATTAATCGCCATTCATAAGAAGAATTACCCAAACGAGTTGATATTGTCAAAAAAGTAGCTAAAGCAGGCAATAAAATTAAACGACCCTCTGAAGCTAATTCATCTCGAGCCGAGGGAAGTGTTTGGCCGGTTAATGCATCCCTTGCCTCTATATTTAAGAAAGAGGATTGTTCAACAAGTCTGTATAAAATAATTAATTTTATTTTTAGGAAATTTTAATTAATAGAGTTGAGATTTTGGAAATTTGATAAAACATTTGATCAAATGTTAGCTTTTTAAATTTTTAGTTGGCAAACAATTATGGTTCAGTTACACCGGAAAGTTAAATTCCAGTAAATCAAAAAGTCAGGCTTTAGCAGTGCTATAATATGCGGAATTAACCCCGAGATTTATAACATCTATCCATTTTTAATTGTAAAAAATGAATTACAAAATTCATACAATAAAATAACTCTGTTATAAACTTTATTTAAAATAACCTGATCGACCATACAAGGAACAAGCTAGAGAAAAAATTAATTGTATTTTTAAAAATATTTTTAAAATAAAATATAAACGTTTCTATAGTTCCAAGTACAATAACAGTACTAGCCAGAAAACGCCAAAATGGACATTCAGCATTAGCAAAGGTATTAAGAATTCCAGCAGCAATACAAATTGTGCCGTATATCCACCAATCTGGTACAAACTTAAAAAAATTAAAATAATTTATTGGACCCAAGTATGATCCTCTTTTTTGCTTACTAACCAAATTTTTTGGTATTTTTGGATTTTAATTTTATTACCCAATTTAGGCCAAAAATCATAAAAACGAGCAATAAAAAATTAAAGGTAATACTTAAGATATTAGCCCCATTCCCCCTCTAAGTGGCCAAACAAATTTTAGAAAAGTCTAATTTTGAGGTGGGACGATAATTTTATTTTTTTTATTTATTCATTCACATTTTAGAACTTTTAAAATTTAATCTAAAAATTTATTTTAAATTTATACCATATATAAATATGCAGATAAAGTCAGAAGAATAGCACTAAACCCTAACTGGATTGATCTAGACTTCATGTCAATTAAAATATTATAGTTTATTTAAAAATATTTTGATTATCTAAAATATATATTTTTAATTTCAAATAAATTTCATAAAAGTTTATTTAAAAAATATTTAATTTTTATTTAATTTTAACAACTTTATTTAATAAAAATCGATTATATTTTTGAGAAAGAATGCACAAAATGTGAATGTTTTAACTAAATAAATGTTTGGTTAGTTACTAAGTAGAAAGTAAATTTTGTGTAGTATTTCTTTTTCCTCTTATTTTCTAGTACAGTGAAATCGGATTTTTAGGCATTAAAAATCTCAAAATATGCAGTATAATATGCACAAAAAAGCCAAAATATGCATTAAAATACAATTTACAAACCAAAATTATCAAGCGATAATTTATCGAAAATTTGTAATTTATTTTTTAAATAAATCATAAAATAAAATAGGAAATTGGAAAGAACTGATAAGTAAAATTATAAAATATCAAATGTAATACAATGTGATAAACAATATTAAAAGATTAGTGGAAATAAATAAATTGATTTTTAGTAAATATTAATTGAAATTAATCTTTAAAGTTTAAAGTTTAGCTAATTTTTCGTTGCAAGACGATCAATTATTTCTCAAAAATTAATCATTGAGTATTTTTATATTAAATTTAATTTAAAATATTAAAAAAAACAAAATTAAAAAAATAGTAGGAAATTATATGCCTCAAAGGTATTTACAATAAGAACACAAAAAAAGTTTCTACAAAGAATACTTTTAAGTAGGGTAGCAACCCGTCCCCCAAACCCCGACCAGACCCCGACCCGAATTTTTGGCAAAAACCCCGGCCCGAACCCCGAAGGCTCTACCCCGACAAACCCCGATCCCCGACAGACCCTAGAGATAAACTAGATAAATATGTAAATATTTAATTTTTTCTTGAATTCTTTAAACAAATTCTTTTAAATTCTAAAAACAAATCTTAAATTAATTTATTATATTTTAAATTTTTATTTAAAAAAATTTTCCCTATCTCTCTCAAATAAATATAGTTTAATATAAAAAATGACACAAAATGATGAATCAAAAATTATCAAATAAAAATTTTTAAAAAGTTTTGATTAATTAATTAAAGGGAATGGAATGCGGGTTTGTGATGACAAAATAATTTTGTGTTTTTGTCTTTTAATTATTTTAATTTTTTTAATTAAACGTCCAAAAAAAGAGGAAATTAAAGGGAAAGGTAAATGGAATGCACGTAAATTCCTTCTTTTTCTTCTTAAATTACCAAAATTTTTCAACTTTTTTGATGAAATTATAAAATGATTGAAAGCATTTTTGCCATAAAATTAATTATTAAATATTTTTATATATTCGTGTGGTCGTTATCTGCGCGATATAAATAAATAAAATTATAAATATTTAATTATTTTTAATTTTATATTTTGACGGTTTTTGTAATACAAAAACTCCTTACAAATTTTGGAACTAAAGAATAATTTAATTTATTTTAGAGAAATTAATTCCGGTTGATAAAAATCTTAATTTTAATCATTTTTCTTTTCTCATTTATTTCAAAACCTTTTATTTTTAATTTGAACGAATATTATCAGAAAAGCTTATTGTAGAAATTATTATATTTACAAAATGCCTCTTAATATTTTTGTTACAGCTGAAGAAGAGAAAAAAGAAGTAAAATTGGATGATATAACTTTAATGTTTTTTGATACTTTAATGGTTTTTAATTTATAAAAATGTTAATTTTTTAAATTAAATTTCTAGGCTTCTTTAAATGCAGCTTTTCCAAATATTAAAACATTTTATGATTTTTTTGAATGTTTGTTTTTAATTGTTTATAAAGGAAATATTAATTAGAAAAATTAAATCAAAATTTACATAATTTTTAAAAATAAAAAAATAATTTAAAATTAGACAAATAAAATTTTTAAATTTAATTAAAATATTTACAAAAAAATAATTTTTATAGATTTTGATGAAGATGGTGATAAAGTTTCTGTTCGTTCAGATGATGAATTACAAACATTTTTAGTTGAAATTATTCGTAATTTTGAAGAAAACAATAAAAAATTAGAAATTAAATTAAAATCAAATAATTTATTAATTTCTCAACAATTAAGTATTGATGAGGAGGATGATGGAGTTTTGGATAGTTATTTAAATGGTAATCAGGAATGTTGTTCTTTGACATTACCTAAAATTGTTATGGAAGAGAATAATGGAGAGAAAAATAAAAAAATATTTTTTGATAAACAAATTAGGTAAAAAATAATTAATTTTTAATAAAAAAAGGACAAAATATTAATTAAAATTTAAAGAAATTCAAATCCAAGCACAATTTTTGGACCAGAAGACTTGCAATTAATTGAATGCTTGTCTGAAGGACAATTTGGGACAGTTTACAAGTAATGAATAAATTAATTTTTAAAATAATTTATTTTCAATAGAGCACTTGATGTAAAAAACGATCGTTTATTAGCAATTAAATGTTTAGCTCTAGACGGGGGTAATGGAACAAGGCAGGGACTATTAAATGAAATTGCTATTTTAAAAGTAGTTATATTTTAATTTATAAAATTTATTTTGTTATTTTAAAGAAAAGTGCCCATCCAAATATCGTTACATTTCATGCCGCTTTATTTGTTGAGAATAATCTTTTAATCTGCATGGTTTTTAATTTCAAAATAAAATTCTTAAAAAAACCAAAAAAATTTTAAAAAATTAAGGAATTAATGGATGCCCTTTCTTTAGATTTATATGGACAATTACACCCTCTAGTACTTGGTGCTTGTACAGTAGCTATTGTAGAAGGACTTAAACACCTTTGGGATAATTCTATTATACATAGGTGTTAAAAAATAATTTTTTCTTAATAAAAAATAATTTTAGAGATATAAAGCCAAGCAATTTTCTAGTAAATTCTTTTGGTGAAGTTAAATTAGCAGATTTTGGTGTTTCTAAACAAATGGCACAATCAATTGCTTGGTCCTATGTAGGCACCAAGGTTGATTATATTAAAAATATTAGTGTTATTTGAAATAATTTAATAGGTTTATATGGCCCCGGAGAGAATAAATGGAAATGTTTACAAGTAAAAATAATTAAAAATTGTTTCAAATATTTTTTATTAGCGTAGCTAGCGATATTTGGAGTTTGGGTATTTCATTGGCAGAAATGGCTTTGGGCCAATTCCCATTCATAAATGATTTAAACAAAAATATAAAGTCAACAGAATCTCTAATTATTAAACCTGAACATATTTTTGCTTTACTTTCTGAAAAACAATTAATAGCTATTGGAAATGGATTTACTGAGGAATTACTTTATGGATGGTAATTGAAAAAAAATAATAATTTTTTCCAATGTTTTTTCAGTTTAAAGTTAAACCCCAATCAAAGATTTAATGGAAATGCAATTATTTCAACTAAATTTTTATTAGCACATCAACCAATGAATAAAAACATTGTTGCGGATTTTATTAACGAAAGGCGTAAAAATGGTTTACTTCAAAAACAAAATACAGAAAGCTAACTAGTGTTGCTAGGCTACAACTCTAATAAATAAAATGAGACAATTTATTTATTTTAATAGAATTAATGTAAATAAACTAGGTATAATGAAAATTGAATTTTGAATTTAATGAAATATTAATAAAATAATTTAAAAGAAAATTAATTATAAAATGTTTTAGTTATGCTCAGATTTTTTTCTGTTTGAACTATTTCAAGATTTAAAATAATCGAACATAAGTAAATCTCAACCAGAGGCGGGTTGGATAAGCCAGAATTGGATTAGTCAGGTACTTTCCTATTTTCTCAAAATTATGGAAATCGAAAGGAAAAAATTTGAGAAGGAATCCACCTCTGAAATATACAAAAACTGTAAATTATTTTTTGTTTTATAAAAATTTGGAAGGGATATTTAATATGCATGGCAATAATTTATAATAATAATTAAACTCGATGTGTTGTTACTGCTTCAAATTGTCTTAATTCTGTATAATCTTTCATTGCAATATGTCCAAGCCTTTTGAGGCATTATTGATTTAATTAGAGAATTATCTATTTACCTGTCAGAAACCCATCTACCATTCATTCCGGGAATTCTTGCTGTTGGTTTTCCCCAACTAGAAATTAAAATTATTGTTTTAATCGGAAATACTATGTACTTTAACTTATATATCTCTAAATATTCTAAGTATTAAGTACATTAATCAGAAAAATAAAATAAAGACAAAATAAATAACCTCAAACTTTTGTAGAGAAGTATCTCATCTGTATCCGACCTTTGAAATTAAAAATTTTTAGTTAAAGTTTTTATTTATACTCTAAATAAATTACCAAAATGCAAAAATATAATCAGCTTCTCTGGATGGGTTTCTATTTAATTTTTCCAAAAATGCTGAATAATTAACTTGTTCCCCACAAGGAGATGTTGTATAGCCACAAAGTAATTGATCTTCACATGTATAGCCAGGATATAAACCCTTTAAATTTTGTTATTATTAAAGATTTGATTTCATATTTAATTGGTAAAATGAAAATAATTGGTTGGTCTAAATTTTAAATTATTTTTAAATTTGTTATATTAATGTGTCTAACAAAATTGAAGTTCTATATAGATTTTTTAAAATAAAATTTTAATATTTAAATTTTCTTTAACTAACATCCAAAGCGTTACACCATGCGGGAACCGTTTGTGCCAATTGACAGACACAAATTCCATAATTTGGCCCAGCAATTCCTAAATAGATTATAGTTAATTAAATATTCTAATTAGTCAATATTTATTTTACTGCCCAAAAATGTGTCGATCCGTTCAGAGAGTGGACGACCTGAAAATTTTTGACTGTTTTAAATTTTTAATTCAGTTCTAACCTAAAGAACAATTTCCATCTGTAGCAATTAATTCACCTCCTTTAATTACTTTTCTAGCCAAAACAACCCCCATTGAATGTGCTATTATATCAACCTTTGGAGCACCAGTATAAGCAAGTATAGCCTCTAGAAAACGTCTAAGAAATATCAAAAATTTATTTCCAAAAAAAATATTCCTTGAAAACCTTAAATCAACCAAATAAGAGCAAGTATGCATTGTGTTATATCCATCTTTTTATGTTTTAAATTTAATAACCAATTAAAATAAAAATTACCAAAAATATTTCCTGTACCCCAAGTATCCCCCCAGGTAGTTGCATATCTAATAAAACCAAAAAATTATCTCAATAAAACAAAAAATTATTTTGCTTACAATTCTGCTGATGTATACTGAAATAATTTTAAAAATTAATTAATTTGTTTCAGTTTAAAGTTATTAAAAAATCTAACATTCTGTTCCATAAAGTATTGAATAGATCTTGTCCAACCTATATTTTTAAATATTTCTTCAGATACTTATTTAAAATACCGGTTGCTTGGGGGCCTTGAGTATGCAAAGCAGCATCCCCCTTTCATTAAAATGTAATTTAAATTATTATCCTAATTAAATTGAGGAAACATACAGTGCCATGAATAAAGATAACTGGTTCTTTTTGTATCTAAAATAATTAACTTTATTAAAACAGGTAATCCAAGTAGATTTAAACAAGTGAATTAATTAATTAAATTTATTTTATAACTCCGAATTTTGAAGAATTTTATGATTTTTTGAAATATATTGTCATTTAATTTTTAATATTTTATATTTACATACATATTTTACTAATTATTTATTATAATTTTTTTAAATATTTAATTATAATATTTCTGTACTTGCTGTGCTGAATTAATTTTTCCTCCAAAACTTCCACTTGGCCCTATATCCGGTCTATCAAAAGCATCTTGTTCATAGCCATTTGCTATCAACCAACTAACAAAATTTTCTGTTAGAGGTCCAATTACTGTAGATTGAGATTTTGTTGATAATGGTAGAAATATTATGAAAATAATGATAATTCTTAGATTAATTCTTAAATTAACCCGTTTTTGTAAAAACATATATCTAAATAAATAAAGAAATATTCGAGGTAAATATGATATTAGTAATAATTATTGAGATACTCATTCAAGATGGGAATTTATAGTATATCATCTAGTAAAAGAAATCTTTGTAATAATAAATTGGTAAATTAACTATCTAAAAAAGGACTTGCATTTTGATGAGATTATTCTACTATATTATAGCAATTTACTTAGATAAAAAGCTTGAATCATAAATCCGTTTTTGTGATTTTAAGGCATATTTTAAAATTATTTGTCAAAAATATATATTTAATTGATTAATATTATTTTATGCAAAAGATTTTATGATATTTATTGGAAATTGGAAGAAAAATGTAAAGAATAATTAAAACCAGACGATGAATTATTAGATACTATTATGTGCCCTAACAAGCTTTTCTTTACCAACATATTATTAATTTTTTTAACCTCTATTAATAAAACTCTCAGCCTCACGTCGCCACAACGATCGAGAGAACGGCTAAAGGATGACGCGGCTTACATACACAAAGGTTATTTAAACAAAGATTTACCAGTTTTTGGTTGTAATTAAAAAAAGAATATTTTTTGGAAGTTGATTTTTATATACTATATAATAGCTTTAAAAAGGAAAATTTTGTTATTTTTTGTGAAAAAATTAGTGTATTATGTAGAGTTATAAAGAAAAAATATTTAGTAAATATTATTAAATTATTTATTTTATAAAACTTTTAGCAAAATCAAGGTATGATAAGTCTAAACATGTTAACCTTTAAGGGTCTCGTATTTTTTGAGAGATCTCGTATCTCGTGAATCTCGTTGTATTTTGTGGTATTAGCGCCACACCTGTTATCAAGTGTTGTCATTGTGTTAATAAATTCTTAATGCATCTCGACTGCGAATATTTCTGTTTTGTGATAATAAATTAATTGTTAAAATTTTTAATACTAGAAAGACGAACCAAATTTAAATCCATTCGGAAGTTTTAAAAACCCACAAAAATTAAATAAACTATAAACAAAATATACCAGATGTTAATTAACAATTGTATTTAATGTTTCGAATAAAAAGAATTTTTCGTTTCTAATTTTAAAATTGGATTAAATGTCACGACAAAAATAAATTAATTGCCAGAATTAATTCGAAAATCTCATTATAATTTAATAAACTATATTTTATAATTTAAAATTATCTCTCCATCTGTCTTTCTTTTTTTATTTTTAGATTAACATTTAAAACAATTATTATTATTAAAAAGTTCTTTTCTCACATTTACTAAACATTTATTTGCGTCAATCGTCGAATTTTTCACACGATTTTAATTAAAATATAAGTGAGACTTTGAAGAAAGTTATGACAAAAAGAAATAAGGCTCCTAATTTGCCATACTCGTTATTAAAAACCTCTTGTTCTGCCTGTTTGGATGGTTGAACATCGGTTGTGCTTCTTCTGTTCAACACTCCATGATAGTTTAATTCCCTATCCCATACAATACATTTTTTCACAGCATATAATACATATCTTTTACTCAAACTTTTAATTAAAACTTTTCAAGCTTTCAATTTATTAATTTTTATTTAAAATCTTCAATTTTATTTTCTTAAAAACAAGCAAATATTTCCAGGTGGAAATAACAATAAAAATAAATAAATACAATTAATGTTATCATTTAAAAACATAAAAACAAACACCTGGCTAACAGACAATTTTCAATAAATTTCCACCTGAAAATAAATAAAAATAAATCAAAAACATTTCCATAATTACGTAAATTAAAATTTTATTTCATTTATTGCTCACTCTTTGACATTTACTTTTTAGATAATTGTAAATATTTTTTACGTTAATTTTTATTTTAAAATAATTAATTAAATAATTAAGCTTTTAAATATTTGAAAATAAATAATAATTTATGCTAAAATTGTTTTTATTATTTTAATTTTTAAAATAAATTTTTTTATTATTTTAAATATTCATTTTCTTAAAAAATATACATACATTTATTATTCATTACATAAATGTTTTCTATTCAATATTTAAATTAAAAATATTTATTTTTATATAAATTTACGTTATTTATTTGTTGGTCTTTAAAGCGATTTTAGTTTTAATTATTTACTTGTTTCCGTTATTTTTACTTTTTTTTTCTAAATGCTGAAAGAATTTTTTAATTGTTAAAGATCAACTTGTCAGATATTTAATTAATTAATTTATTTTTGTTATTTTTATTTAAGCCTGGAGAATTAGGTATTTATCATTTAGAGGGAAGTCTTCAAACAAAAATCCCTTTTTTACTAACTAAAAATCTTTAGTTTTTGCTCAATGATCTACAATAATAATTTGCAATATTTAAAATAAAAAAATTAAAATAGCCCACACCTGTTTTTAAATTTTTTTGCAAATTATTTTTAATTAAATTATTTATTTTTTTAAAGTTAAAAAGAGAGTAACTTTCCTCTATTTGTAAAAAAATAAATAATTAAATAAATTATTTTTACATATTTAGAAATTTAGTAATATAAACTAAAATATTTAAAAATAATTTTAAAAAACACTTTCCGGTTCTTTAAATTAATAGGTGCGTTAAAAACGTTATTTTTATAAATAAATACATAAATATATAAAAAATTAGAAAAAAAATATTAATTTTATTTAAGTTAAAAATAATTTTACTCTGATATTAAATTGAATATAAATAGTATTTTTAATCAGGTATTGAATATTTTTGGTTTTTCTAAAATAAGATAGGTGGGTATTTAGTTACTTAGATTATTAAGTGTTCGTAACCGAAATTATCAATTTAGACTTTTTGCCGTAAATTACTTAAAATTCAAAATAAATATATCGTATTTCCTATATTAGTGCCCCACCCTCGATTAGAGCCCCACCTTGAGGATAGTTGAAAAATAGAGCCCAAATGTTTTTAAAATAAAAACATTTTGATTTCCAATTAAATATTTTTTTAAAAATTTTTAATATTTAACTTTTATTCTTTGTCAAAATCGTGATTAAATTGAAAATTGGACTTGCGTGCATCTTAACATTTTTTAAAATAATAAACATGAGTTAAGCGTGTAAACGACATTAAATAAATATTTATATTTAACGTTATTTCGTGCCATTATTATTTTTTGTATTATTAAACGTTACATTTAAAATACAAATTTAAATTATTTCCTTTTATTTTAAAGATATCTAAATATTTTCTTTAAACATAATATATTTTTTTGAATTAATTTTCTCAACTTTTATTTAAATTAATTTTAAAATTAATTTCAGAATTTAAAAAAATGTCTGGACAATTTTTAACAATTTTTGAATTTCTTATTGCTTTTCTCCTTCATTCTGCGGCTCTTGTACGCATTGGACTTATTTTTAAACACAAAATTGATAAAAAGAAGGAAATGGCCCCTTTTCTTGTTTGTCTACTTATTAATTGGACTTTTGTATGTACCCTATTAATACCTTATGAAGGCTATGGAATTGCTGTATGGAGACCTGTTGAGGGTAATATAAATTATTAAATTATTAGATAGTCAGGTTACAAATTATCCGTGATTTATTTTCTAAAATTTCCTAGAGTGTTTTTAAATTTACAAAATTTTAATAAAAATAATTTAAATTAAATTTCAGAAATTTATCACAACAGTTTAACTCTCTTTCTGATTGCTTTACCTGCCCATATGGCGCTTGCTGCAATCCCAGTTTCTGTTTTCTATCTAACTCTTGATCGAATTCTCGTCATAACATATGGTTTTGCAGGTGGACAACGAACAAATAAATTGGTTATTTATTCGTATGTTTTGGTTATTCTTACTGGACTTGGAATTTGCGCGAATGGATTTTTATCTGCATTAAATAATATGCCTGAACAAACGAGTGAGATAGATTTTAAAATTAATTTTTAGCAACAAATTCTGTCTTAAACTTTGACATCCATTATATTAATTCGTTTAATTCGAATAGTTTAGCTGGGTTTTGATTAATATTCAGTGATGAAATGGCGATAGTGTCTGGGCTAAACTTATCATTGGGGTATAATGTAACAAATATGTAGGTCTCAATAAGTTTCAAATTTGGGGATAGGAATTGTATAGTATTTATTACATCATCATCATGGCTGCATAATTTAACAAACTTATTTTAAAAAACTATATGAAATTATTATAAGAATTAACTTATTAGAATGTGAAATATTTGGTTGCATACTTGGCCCAGCTGTAGAAGTATATCTTGGTTGGAGAGCAATATGTTCAGTATTTAATTTTAGCAGTGGAGTATTATTTTGTATTCTTCTCTACAAATCCAACAAAAAATTTATGTTGGGAGGTAATTTACAACAGCCATTTCCTGCTACAGCTTTAGGTAGTTTAAATAATTTATTATTAATTCTCTATATTTTTTTTTAATTTTTAGTAATTAATGAACAACGTAAAAAGCAGCAAACAAAAAATAATAAATTAACAATGATTGCAATTGTTAATGAATTTTTTCTTGCATTTATTCCTCATTTTGGACCATTTTTATGGGAAAAAGTAAATTTTCTAATATTTTATCAGTTAAAATTCATTTCTAAAAATTAGATGTTCGGTCCCGGTTCTTCAATGGGCACTGGACCTCTTAGTGAATTTATGAGTGGATTAGAAGTTTTTATTTTTGCTTCAGTATTTTCTTCAGTGTTAAACTCGAATACTTCCAATATAAAATCAACAACACAAACATTACGTGAAGAAAAAACAAAACAAAATATTGGACAAATTAGACCTTCAGTATTTTCAATTCAAAGTGGTTGGACTGGGGGAGGACAAAATGGAGGAGTAAATAATAATAATATTATTAGAGGAAGTTTTAATAGAGTAAATACTCCACTACCTCCAATTAATAATAATGAAAGGCAACAAATTAATAAATTAAGACCTATGCATCAAAGTTTATCAGCTGGAGTTATTATGACCTCATAAATAGTCAAAAATAAAATTAAATAATATTTAAAATTAAAAGATACTTTTTCTTAAAAAATATTTAATACAATTGTCCTCATGAATTTTTGTGTCGTCACATAATCTTACTTAATTTTCATAAAATTTTATGATTTTGCTTGCTCTTATGTTTTTAAATTTTAATCACAAAATAAAAATATATAAAATTATAGCTTGATTTTAAAATAATTTTATTATAGCTTGATTTTAATTATAGCTTGATTTTAAAATTATAGCTTGATTTTAAAAAATTAATTATAGCTTGATTTTAAAATAATTTTATAATACATATGACAAGATTGGAAGGACCGATAAATAACTGGAAATTTATAAAACCAAAATAGATTGTTATGTTAAAAATTTATGCTACTAATTTTTAAATATTAATAAAAAGTGTTAAAATTTTAAACTCATATTTGAACGTCCAGTAGGGTATTTGGGGGTGAGGAATTATTGTTTCAACCCAACTCTAGCGTGGGGATCGGGAGGGGAATTATTTAAGGGAGGGGAATTAATCAAGAAAATACGGTATTTAGAAATTCTAAAGCTCGTTCATTATATTCAATAACCACATATTTGTGCTTAGTTGTAATTTAATGGATATTTGTTACGCCACCAAATGTTGATACTTTGGTTTGGAATTTTTGGAATTTTTTAAGCAAAGATGGAGTTCTCGAAAATAGTAATTTTATCGTGTCTGATTGAACTGTTTTATTTAATGTTAAATAAATGACTGGTGGAAAACCTTTAAACTTTTAAATTTTTTATAAATAAGTAAAATAAACTAGCCATGTACATGTACCCTTAAGTTAATTTTAATTAATTAATTTAATTTAATTATTTACCAACAGAAATGTGCAACAAGTACAAGCACAAAACCACTATCTGGATTTTTCAAATTATAGGCATAAATAATTCCAGTTGAGGTATTAATCATTGAAACGATAAATACTTGAATAAAAACCTTAAAAATTTAAATATAAGTAAATTATTTTGATTATTAGGTATTTAAATGTAGAGACCGGACCAAGACAAAATCTCGATCAAAAATCTTGGTTATCGAGATCGAGAATTTTTTGAGATCTAGATCTTGATTCCCTTAACGACGCTCCTAATCCGATCTATATTTAAATGTATGTTGATAGTTGAGGGTACTATGTACAGGAAAGGTTTACTAGAGCTGGAACCAATCAAAGAATTTACACAATCAACATTTTGCCCAGTCAAAGAACTAATCTAATAACTCCCTTACTAACCATTTTTTCTTCTTTGGTAACTCTATCGGATACTTCACGTGTTTTGAAGAAAAAACAAATAATAAATATAACGTAGATAATAGGTGTTACAACAGCCAATAATGCATTATTTAGAGAATTTTCAAATAAATCCCGTTTAAACTAAATTTAAAAATTATTTAAAAGAATAATAATTTTAAAAACAATTTCTGCTCTAAAAGGTATATATCCAATTAATGGCTCAAATAAAACAGCAAAAGCTATTCCATTAAATATATATGGATGTCGAAAATACAACCAATAAAATCCATATAAATTAGAAATAAATATCCATATATAGATTCTTTTACCATAAAAAAGTATTTCTGCAATGTTTGGAAATGCCATTTCAATACAGCGGTTAATTCCCAATACCTTAAAATATATTAAATTAATTATGCATTTTTAAAAAAATATTTATGCACTAAATCAGCGGCACATTCAGCAGCCCATAAAACTTTAAAATTAATTATTTAGAAAATTTAAATAGAATTAATGAAGCAATACTAAGATCTACTAAATAAAGGGATCTGATAGGAAAAATGTTGTTTAAGTAAAAAATTTCATTTACAAATACATGGTATAATTTTAAAAATTTATTCTAGTTCAAATCACTTACCGTATTTGCTCTATTAATTACCCTCTCTCAAATAATTGCCCCCGCTCTATTAATTACTCCCTCCAGCGAGAGATCAAAACAATAATTACCCCTCCTAAAAACAGTTATAATTAGTCTGTTTAAAAAAAGCTCAAATAATTACCCCGCTCTATTAATTACTCCCTCCAGCAAGAGGTTGAAACAATAATTACCCAGGGTAATTATTAGAGCATATACGGTATACTATTTCCCACCCAAATGTTCCTCCCAAAATAAGCATAGTCTGGCAAGTTTTAAATAAAACTTAAAATTATAACTTCACAATGTTAACCTCGAGTATTTTAAAAATTTAATTCTTACATAAATATAAACATCCAACAAAATAGGTCAAAATTGGCGAAGAGCAGTAGACAATGCCATTTAAACTAAAAATTCCTTGTGCAAAGGTTGGACCCCAAAGTGTAAAAATATTAATTAAGGAAAGGTAAATTAAAAGTATATAACAAGGATTTTTGCTTCGGTTTTTCCAAAATGAGTAAAGACATGGAAAATATAAAGTCTAAATTAAAAAAAAATATTCTTAAAAAATATCTATTAAAATACATAATATATAAATCCAAGTAATATACAAACAATTGCAGCTATTGGATATCTTCTTTTTTCAATTGGAACATCATCAACATTTATTCCAGTACAATTATAAATTTTATTAAATTCCTCATGTTTGAATAGTAAAAGTTCCATTAGAATAAAAATTTAATTGAAAATTACAAAAATATTTTCAAAAATTTATATAAATTTTTGCCGTTTTTATCTCTTAAAAAGCTTATTCAAAATTTATGTCCTGGTTTTTACAAAATTAATTATTTACATGTAATATTAAAATAATTTATTTTGTCAAGAATGATTATATTTAATATTTATTAATATATGTATATTTTATTGTGTCTACAAAAGGCTATTTATTATATTATTAAAGACTATTTTTAATTAGTTTTTATATTTTAATATCCGGTTTATTATTAATATTAATAAATACAAATATTTGTGACACTAATGAAACAATAAAAAATAATTATTTATTATGTACCTAATTTGTTTTAAATAATTTTTGTGTTAATTTTTTATATACATAAAATGTAATATTTCTGGTGTCAAGTATAAACATGTTGTTAAATCCCGGGGGTTCAAATAAAAAAATAGGCAAAATTTAAAATATAAATTAGTTAACTTTCAACAATTTTATTTTCAATTAACGCTTTAAATTAGGTAAATATAATTTCGTAAACGCTGTAATCATTTAATAATTTTATTGTTTAATAAATTTAATAAAAGACATTACATAAATTGGACTAATTTTAAAATATTAGATTAACAAGTAAAAAATTTGGGCTTTTGATCAGCTTTTGTCCAGTCTATACATCCACCTTTATACGTCGAATAAAAAGTTTATATGTCCACCCACATTTCATGTGTCCAGTCAATTGCAATAAGTATCTTGTTCTGCAGATCAGAACCTATCCGATATTGTCAAGTGTACCATAACTCTGGGTGAGTATATCTTTGTATTCGCATAGACAAAAAATGCAGAACTGGGTACTTATCATTGTAGATTGGCACGTAAAAATGTTAAAACGCATAATCTAGACAAGAGCCAAAATTCATTAATTGGGACTTAATGTGAAATGCTTTTTAAAAACATTGATTGTAATACTTTCTGAAATTGGAATATGATAATAATTATTTTTGGAAATTTTGACAAAAAAACTTCAAAAATTTTAAAAAATAAATAACATTTTAATCTTATTTTGAAATAGCTTTTACGTTGTTTTGAATAATGTTGAATAAAATCATTTTTTATTTATGGTCATCTTGGAAGAAAAATATTTATTCATAAAAAACCCTCTAGTTTTCATCATTCTGAGGAGAAAGATTTAAATCTAAAAAAATATTTAAATTATAATATTTAATTTCAAAAACCCACCAATAATATCATCTCGACCTCCACTTTGTTCTTTTTCGGATAAATTTTCTATATTATCAGGTAATTCATTTAAATCTGAAATTAATTTTGAATATTTTAATTTTTAGTTAGTTTAGAACTTAGGCAGAAATTAGATAAATGATAAAATTAAGGATATTTACATGTGTTTAAATTTTTATAATTATGTAAATGAATGAAATTAACTAAATAAATTTCATTAATAACCTGGTACTTTGTAAGGTTTACTACTTTCTACAATTTGTTGATTTGAATGAACTTTGCTTTGATTGCCCGACAAAATAGAGTTTCGAAATTTTTTTGATTCTTCAATACTATGTATTTCGTATTGTTGAACAAAAATAGGGTCCGACCACAGTTGATTTATATTATTATTAGTTGAAGACGATGCTTCACCTTAATATTTACAAAATGTTACTATATTTTATAAAAAAGAATAATAAAAATTATAAGACAACAGAAATAACTTGCCTACAATAATTTTATTATTTTTAACTTCATTTTCTTTTAAAAAGAGTTTTTTAACTTGATTAAACATATCCTTATAACTCTTTATATCTTTATATTTTAAAGATGTAGGCAAATTTAATAAATATTGAATAATATTTATTTGCAATATTTGCTGCCATTTTTCAAATTTAAATTTTATTTTATTTAAATAATAATTTTCCAGAAAAATAATTTTATCTAAAATTAATATAAACAATTTATTGACGTCATTAAATCCATTCTCCGCCATTTTTTGGAATGTTAAATCGGTCTTTAATAAATCGGGATTTATTTGGAGTATATCCATCTTACAAGGTTGAGCTTGGTCAAGTTTTTCTATTTGTATTGTATAAAGTATTGCTTTGTCAGTATTGTGGGGCTTGGGTTTAGGACATTTTGAATAAAGTTTCTAAAATTGATTTTTAATACAAGAAATTGTAAAAATGAAAATTAAATTTTTAATTTTGAAGTAATTTATTTAATTTTCAGAATTACTTTTTAGCTTTCAAATTTTAATCGGAACACAAGAATTTAAAAACCCTGAGACTGAAAAAGAGGAAAATTTGACATTAGAAATTAAGCTGATTTTCAATTAAAATTTACCAATACTTTTGCTAGT